CTTGGTTGGTTCTGCCGGGAGTGCATCATGTTTTGTGTAGTGTCAGCTTTACGTCGCTGCCTGCAGGCCACTGCTTTTGCAACAAAGGAACACTGGGTTGATCCAGTTTCCCTGGTTCCCTGTTCCAGGGCTTGTCTCTTAAGTTGTCCACAAGGTTATCAAGTCTAGCCAGCCTGCGGTCTACCCTCGTTCCCATGATGTGAGGAAATACGCTACTCTCGTTGCTATCTTTGGAAATATGTCTTGGGTTAACATTCGGGCACGGGGGACGGGGGTTTTTGGAGGTCGAACAAGGTCCTGGCCGCCAGGTATCTTGTGAATGTTCCACCTCTCCGGCCTTGCGACGTCTGTCGAGGGCTGGAGTCCGTCTTCGTCTCGAGACTTGCGGTGCTGCCGCCTCCCGGGTAAGTCCCTGCTTTACTTACCTGTGGGTAATTAGCTTCAGGGAGCCGATGAGGCTCCTCACAGAAAACCGGCATTGAATGTAATGAAATGCCACTTTTGTGGGTGAGCCCCGGAGGCTCCCTGACACCCTCCCTCCCTCCCTCCCTCCGGTCGGTGGTGTCGGAGACTGAAACTGTTGTAAATCCTCAACAAAAAAAATGTTAGAACCGAGCACTGAGATTTTCTATTCAATGAGGATAAGAATAAGGGTGTTAGAAAGGAGGAAAAGGAATAGAGGAGAGTCGATAGATTCATTGATGTTTTTATAATGAGGTCGAAACTAGAATAACCATGCACCTAAACATTGTGCCTAAACATTCTCGGGTAAAGTTTATGCAGCATACTTTATATTTGTAGAATTTTTTTTTTTTTTAAGGTTCAGGAAACTTTTAAATGCTTTATAGATTGGCATTACTTTATAATGTGTTCTTACTACTGTAGTTCCTAGTAGTTATAGTTGGTACTCCTGTAACTACCCGAGTGTAGTTACAGGAGTAGACTATGCTATAGTGGCATCCTGTCTGCCCTATGATTGTTTGTCATATGACACTTTGAGACTAGTGATGGTTTTGGCCTCCACCGCCTTCTCGCTTGTGCCAACTACGACTGTGTAATTACCTAAGTGTAGTTACAGGAGCTACACTCGTGGTGTCCCGTCTTCCCAGCACTCTTTGTCATATAACACTTTGAAACTACTGATGGTCTTGGCCTCCACCACCTTCTCGCTTGTGCCAACTACGACTGTGTAATTACCTAAGTGTAGTTACAGGAGCTACACTCGTGGTGTCCCGTCTTCCCAGCACTCTTTGTCATATAACACTTTGAAACTACTGATGGTCTTGGCCTCCACCACCTTCTCGCTTGTGCCAACTACGACTGTGTAATTACCTAAGTGTAGTTACAGGAGCTACACTCGTGGTGTCCCGTCTTCCCAGCACTCTTTGTCATATAACACTTTGAAGCGACTTACGGTTTTGGCCTCCACCACCTTCTCGCCTAACTTGTTCCAACCGTCTACCACTCTGTTTGCGAAAGTGAATTTTCTTATATTTCTTCGGCATCTTGGTTTATTTAGTTTAAATCTATGACCTCTTGTTCTTGAAGTTCCAGGTCTCAGGAAATCTTCCCTATCAATTTTATCAATTCCTGTTACTATTTTGTATGTAGTGATCATATCACCTCTTTTTATTCTGTCTTCCAGTTTTGGCATATTTAATGCCTCTAACCTCTCCTTGTAGCTCTTGCCCTTCAGTTCTGGGGGCCACTTAGTAGCATGTCTTTGCACCTTTTCCAGTTTGTTGATATGCTTCTTAAGATATGGGCACCACACAAAACAACTGCATATTCTAGCTTTGGCCTAACAAAAGTTGTGAACAATATCTTTAGTATTTTGCCATCCATGTATTTAAAAGCAATTCTGAAGTTAGAAAGCATAGCATAGGCTCCTCGCACAACGTTCTTTATGTGGTCCTCAGGAGATAGTTTTCTATCTAGAACCACCCCTAGATCTCTCTCTTTATCAGAATTTTTTAAAGATTTCTCACATAATTTATAGGTTGTGTGGGGTCTATGTTTTCCTATTCCACATTCCATAATATGGCATTTATTCACATTTAAATTCCATTTGCCAAGTGGTGCTCCATATACTTATTTTGTCCAGGTCTTCTTGAAGGGCACGACAATCATCTAAGTTTCTTATCCTTCCTATTATCTTAGCATCATCAGCAAACATGTTTATATAATTCTGTATTCCATCGGGTAGATCATTTATGTAGACAATGAACATCACCTGTGCAAGAACTGAACCCTGTGGTACTCCACTTATGACATTTCTTCAGTCTGATACATTGCCTCTGATCACTGCCCTCATTTTTTTTATTAGTCAGAAAATTGTTCATCCATGTTCGAAGTTTACCTGTCCCCCCCCCCCCCCCCCCCCTCCAATATTTTCTAGTTTCCAGAACAACCTCGTAAAAGTACAATACCACTGTACAGCCTCAGTATTTAACCCATATTTAGTCGGTGTAAACTATCGAGAGACTGAAGCCGATATTTAGCTTGTTTTTTGGCCGTATTCAAATGCAAAATGAGGTCATTATTAATCCTCTAATACTTGTACGACAAGCGTAACTGGGGAGACTAGATTGTCTTTTGTCACCCAATACCGTCTTACCTCGGGTGTCCGTGGTGTGGAGTCCGATAGACCTGCCTCTTCAGGCAGGTGAAATAGTGGGGGTATGGTCAAATGATACGAAAGATGATTAGAGAAGCTCCTTTTCTGAACAAATCCACAAGGGCCGTGATGAGGGTTCGAGCCTACGTCCGTGAGGATCCCAGACGCTGCCTTAATCGACTGAGCTACGACATGGTTAAAGAATTGTAACCGGGAGATCATGCCGAATCCACAAACCCTTGTGGATTTGTTCATTTGATACATCACGCTATTGTGATTTCTGTGTGTGAAGCTCCTTTTCTGTTTGTTTAAACCCATAGGTATTGTTAGGTTAGGATGCATTAGCCTAAGTTGGGCACATTTGACACTTTCGGGCTGGGTTAGGTTGGTTTTCAAATCAGTTGGCAAACCTTCTTTTGTTCAGTGTGACTTTATAATAATAATAATAATAATAATAATAAAATATTATTTAGGAAAAGTACATACATAGATGCACATAAAAACATTCTGATTGATTTATAGATAGAGGTAGTACATACAATACCTAAAGCCTAAACTAGTACGCATAGCATTTCGGGCAAGGTCTGACTCCAAAATAACATACACTGTCATTGGGTGCTTATCGTTTGCTTCATCGTTTGATACAAATATTTGGAGTTAAACTTTTATGAATGAGAGCATGCCAAGTAGGTTTTTGAAACCAGACAAGAGTGAATCATTGTACAGGGGTTAAAGTATTTGTTTACTGCAGTACATATCATGAATAAACATCAATTTTGTTGTAATACCATATTTTGTTATTTTGATTGTCCTTGTGTGTATTGTACAGTAGTTGGTTTTCAGTTTATTTTCAGAGGCATCAATATCAGATAGGCATTAACGCCATGTAACACTATTTGTCCATGGGTAGTGTTAATTTCTAATTGTTTATGCCTCCAAAGTATAGAAAATGGGTATTAAATTTAAAAAACATTTAAATTTTGCCCCTAGGGATGAGTTTATTGGGCAGCGTCACTCATCTTGTGAGTGGACACACTGCCATAGCATGTGCAACACTCCCCAAAAGGAAGAAAACCCGCTGGGTTGTTCATCCTGTCACTTGTACCCAGACACAGCTGGGACTTGCTTACCTGTCTCAAGTGAACAGCTCCTCAAACAAGAAGATTAACATCTGTCAACCCTTAAAAGCTTACGTTATCTTACGGGTGCAAAATGTGGGATCTTTTAAGAACAGTATCAATATTTGACAAATAGTGTTTTCCTAACTCAAACAATGTGGGGTTTATTATTCTGGGTTAATGGGTATGGGTATTATTCCCATATTATATGGGTAATGGGTAAAATATTATATAGGTAATAGGTATTATTCTCCCTCACAAACCTTCTTATCTTGAGGTTATCTTGAGATGATTTCGGGGCTTTTAAGTGTCCCACCTTGCTTAGACATTTGCCTTAGCTTAGTGAAGATGTCCTGAAGGTTACTTTAAGGCAGCTGACTCCTTATCTAGAGCTGTGACAAATTGTCACAGGTCGAGATAAGGAGTCGGCAGCCTTCAGGTGCCTGAACAGACGTCTTCCCCAAGCTGTTCGAGACAAAGTTCAAAGCAAGGTTTGAGGATAGAATAACACCCATTTTCTATATTGTACTTTGGCGGCGTAAACTATTAGAAAATTCACGGGGTGAATTTTCCTGTGAAAATGAAATAAACCTGTAAAAAATGAAATAAACAAAATAATAAATTTGTTACATAGTGTAGAATCAGATAGGTAATAATGCGCTTGCTTAAAATAAGTGTGACTTCAGTGGCCTAGACAGGAATAAGCATTTGGTCCTTGGTCAAGCACTAAATGCATTTTTTATATTATTATTGGTACAGATATATAGTAGACGATGCTTTTCTTGCGTATGTGAGGAGGTAAAAGTACACGAGTGTGCTGGGGTAACCTTAGTCCGAGTAAAATGAATAACAATAACCCTTACACTGTTCAAGTAACTAACTGCGATTTCCTCCTCTGCTTGAGCCCCCCTATACGATTTCTCCCCCCCCCATTTTTGGTAACTGGGTACTCTTCCTTCCTCCCGTCCTACCTTGAGGTGCTTCCGGGGCTTAGCGTCCCTGCGGCCCGGTCGCTAGCCCAAATCCTTATCCCGATCCCTTCCACAGGCAATATAGCTGTAATGGCTTGCTGCTCTCCCCCCCCCCCCCCCCCCCCCCCCTCCCTGATAGTTCCCTTTTAGATAGATGCCCCCCCCCCCTCGAAGTAGCACTTTTAAATATGTGCAGTTGAGGAGTTAATACAACATCTGTCAAAAATGGTGGTATTATTGTCATTAAGTATATTCAAAGATATACTGTAATTCTAAAGGAAGTTTATATTTCAGGGGCGGTCGTGGGAAAGGAGCGGAGAGGCAAGTGCCGGCTGATGGTGTGTACACTAACCACCGCTTCATGCAGTCCGTCGGAGCTCTGGTGGGGCTCCCAGTAAGGGTAAGTTGTCTGCGGGGTTGTGCATTGTTCACGATTTTAATCTAAATATCAAAAATAATAATATAAAATTAGTAACAGTTTGTTGACAGTTGGGAGGCGGGCGGAAAGAGCAGAGCTCAACCCTCGCAAGCAGATGTAGGTGAATACGTCGCCCATGATTTTAATCTATTGCACTACTGTATACGATTAACCGTCTGGGTTTAAATTTCATTAATTGCATTTCTCATTAATTCTTTTGTTTACATTAGAGACTGAATCATTTTCATCTTGCCAGTTTCTTTGTTTTGTGTACTTGTTAGTAATTAAAGTATATTTGTTTTGAATGATAAGGTTTCGTTAGATTTGAAGATAACCATATAAAGTAAATCCCCCAGCGCACACGTACGGAAAGATAAGGGAAGTGACGACACTTTGGCCCGTCCTATTTTTAGCCAAGTTATTGAACTATGCCCCATGTAATTGAAACAAGTTTTTACAAGAATGTAAAATCGTCAATGCTATGTACTCTCATAAACCCAGTATACCATCTTGTATGTATGTGTGTGTGTGTGTATATATATATATATATATATATATATATATATATATATATATATATATATGACAATGTCAGACCACGGAGGAAAAATGAAACAGGAAATTTCCTTAAGTACTTTCGTATATTAAATACATCTTCAGAAGGTCGAAGCCTTGACCTTCTGAAGATGTATTTAATATACGAAAGTACTTAAGGAAATTTCCTGTTTCATTTTTCCTCCGTGGTCTGACATTGTCACATTCTTAATCACGTGTTTATTTTCGTGATATACACACACACACACATATATATATATATATATATATATATATATATATATATATATATATATATATATATATATATATATATATATATATATATATATATATATATATATATATATATATATATATATATATATATATATATATATATATATATATATATATATATATATATATATATATATATATATATATATATATATATATATATATATATATATATATATATATATATATATATATATATATATATATATATATATATATATATATATATATATATATATATATATATATATATATAATCAATAAAATAATATATATTTTTGTTTCTTTGATGGTTTTAGATACAAACGAAGACGAACGATATAATTGAAGGCGTCTTCACGACATTTAGTCCCAACTTTGACTTGGTGTTAGATATGGCTCACCCGGTGCCCCGAGGAGACACCGCAATAATCAACCCGGAGACCATCAAGCGTAAGATGATCTTCACTGCAGCTGATATAGTCACTATTAAGGTCGCCAATGTCGATCTAGAATATGCAACAAGAGGTTAGGATATTTTGGTTTCTGTTTTGTATATATATATCCGTGTTAGGCTCATATTTTTGATGGACAGTATTGTCTGGATATGATGTGTGTTATGGGCATGTTTTTGGTCTACTACAAGCCAAGTATTTGTTGTTTTACATGCACTCAATCTATGTTTTGTTTTACAAGTACACAATCCATGTTTTACAAGCACACACAATCCATGTTTTGCAAGCACACACAATCCATGTTTTACAAGCACACACAATCCATGTTTTGCAAGCACACACAGTCCATGTTTTGCAAGCACACACAGTCCATGTTTTGCAAGCACACACAATCCATGTTTTACAAGCACACACAATCCATGTTTTACAAGCACACACAATCCATGTTTTGCAAGCACACACAATCAATGTTTTACAAGCACACACAATCCATGTTTTGCAAGCACACACAATCAATGTTTTACAAGCACACACAATCCATGTTTTACAAGCGCGCACAATCCATATTTTACAAGTGCACACATTCCACATTTTACAAGCACACACGCAATTCATGTTTTACAAGCACACACACTCTACGTTTTACAAGCACACAATCCATGTTTTCCACTACAAAGCTACTTGAATAATACATGTATGACAAAATGTACTCAAATTATTATTATTTTAGTTTTTCCCGATAAAATATCCTTGTAAAACAAGTGCATCTTGAACGGCGGCAAATATGGTACATTGATCTCTCTCCAACTGGTCTCAAAACAGTGACTCCTGGAAAAATCATTTGGCGTTTTACGTATAATACCTCCAATGACCTCGGAATGATGTACTATATATGCTAATTGAGGGGCGTTTATCCTGTTTATCCAAATGTTATCGTATCAAAAAATAGAAAGCTTTGATCTAGAGTGTTTTCTTCAAATAAACAGTGGATGAAAACTGCTTTTTGTTGTGAAAAGTGAATTTGATGCCCTGAAGAAAAAATGATTGTTTAGTGTGAAAAGCTGTGGTTATGTGGGACCTGACAGCTCAGTGGACAGCGCTCAAGATTCGTAGTCCTAAGGTTCCAGGTTCGATCCCTGTTCGCTGTTCACTCAGTCGGGCCCCCCTCAATGTCGATTTGCCAGAACAAAATTAGACATTTACTGCCAGAAATATTAGACCTATCAGGTTGTGGTGGATATGTGGGATGCTTCAAGCAACAGCTTCTTGGACCAAGATATCACGCGTCAAGCTTGGTTCCAGGCCGGGCTTGACGAGTAAAAGAACTCTCGGAGCCTACTCCGAGGACACGCCGGGTACACAAAGATTTCTGTTTAGACTGAACTCTGTGAGCGTAGCTCATCCTGTAATTACTCTTTGGTAATCACTTTAATTAATTACTATAAGCACCACCACAACCATTGCAACTAGTACTACGACCACTACAACTACCAAGACATGCTAATTACACCAGTCTGTGTACATTGTATCCAATTGTACTTACTGTGCACCATGTTACTGTACTGTACACCTTCAACGTGACATTTGAACTCGGAAAGGTTCACGTTATTTTTCGTCTTGTGGCATGCCAGCCTGCGGTATCTTTCTCTTGAAGCAACGTGGATATTGTCTAATGTGGCATTTGACCTTTCAGAAGGGTTCGCTGTAGATCAAGTTATTAGCCGTTATAATGGTCAAGTAGTAGAGAAGACGCTGGAGCCCTGGCAAGGAGAACCCGCGTCTGAAGATAGCGTAGTACTAGGAGATGAAAGTTCGGTAAGTTGACAGACACGGACTTCTTGTTTTTTCCCTCTATTATTGCCCAGTTAGATATTATTTGTATAGTGTTGTGTATATATGTTATTTTTTTTAGGATATATTCTCCTGACGTTTCCAGCTCTGCTTTGGCCCCAGTCACTGGAGCCGTTGCATAGCAATCCCCAGCAAACCCAAGTAGATGACGTTCCACACCTATACTTAACCGTAATAAAGATGAACACGCACGTGTGCACAAACGTATGCACATGGATATTAATTTAAAGATTTACCATTGATGGTTTTTGTTACTCTTATCGTCATCATTTACTCTAGTTTAAATTGTGACCCAGTTTTCCCCGTTTTACGCGAATTTGATTTGTGCTAGTATGGGGGGTTTCCGGAAAATCAATACTTAAACAAATAACAGGGTGCCCAATGAATGAATAACCATGTCATGGCACAGACGATTAAGGCGCGTGTGGGATCCTCTCGGACGTACAGTAGGTTCGAACCCTCATCACGGCCCTTGTGGATTTGTTGATTTGATGCATCATGCTATTGTGATTTCTGTGTGTAGTGAAGGGGTGATACCATTCATGGATGATATCTAGTACTGAAGTGTCCAGTCTGTGTGTATGTGTGCACTAAAAACATTAGCCACTTTTTTTTTTTTTTTTTTTTTTTTTTTTAATTTGTCGACAAGTATTTCATCTACAGAAGATACTTGGCATTTTATAGACTAACTTCATATGGTTGCTTTTCCAAAACAATTAATGTGATTTTTGCAGGTTCACTATTTGAGTAGCCGAGGACCAGGCACCTTATGCTGGATAGGGACAAAAATCCAGTGTTGAATGTAATGAAATGCCTCTGGTAGCTCCCCTCAGTGGGCCCCCCCCCCCCCTCCCCCTCTGGAGCTCTGGAGGTAACTCGGCAGCTAGTTTCAGGGAGCCACTGAGGGAAGTCCTCGCAGGAAAGAAAAGATCTGATGACATACAGAATAAACCGAGATTGGACAAGGGCACACTTTGTATTGTAGGGGGAGAATACAGTGGGAGGCTTTGTTGTAGGATCAATAGGAAATGCAAATGTGTGAGAGGAACGTACGATAGTATACCTTCTCTGTTCAAGACATCATCCCTTCCCCCCACCCCCCCCACCCCCCCCACCCTGGTGGAGAGTTAAGTCCACTCGCATTTTCAAAGGGAGCGAGTGGAACCCATTAAAAGGGAACAGTAATAGTGGTTAGCTTTATATAGAAATTAAAATTCTATTGTACAGCAAATACCCAAAGTACAATAATGGAGACGTGTCACATAGGTAGTTGAATGGTTTGGAGGCAGGGCTTAGGAGCTGGAGGCATGAACTTTGCCAATATGCAGGTGAGTAGAAGAAACATTCACGCTTGTACTTACAGGCTCACTCGCTCATACTTGTTCATTTAGTAGTCCGTTTTTTTCTTTCCCGGCAGAATGGCTGGGATGTAGATGATATGTTTCGTAAGAATGAAGAAAAATATGGAGTAACTACTTCATACACGCCAGAAATGGAAGGGTACACGACCCCTCTAAACAAAAGAAATACCGCAGAATATAGAGAGCGCGAAAAAGAAGCGTCGAGAATTGCGGCGGAAATTTTGAAATCGCCAACGTCGACGGCGCAGTCTGAACTGGAGAATGGAGACGAGGAAGACAAGTACGTATTTAATTTAATGTAATGTATGTAGGGTGATTGTTTACATGTTGTTGGGGTCACCGCTGGTTACCTTGAGGTGCTTCCGGGGCTTAGTGTCCCCGCGGCCCGGTCGTCGACCAGGCCTCCTCTAATAATAGTTGGTGACCTCTTGTGGTTGGGGGTTGGAAGGAACGATGACCTCGTGGCTGGGATCTCTGACTGGGCCACGAGGTCAAAGTATCGCAATGGGTTGGTTGGTATATTGAGCGGTGTGTGTGTGTTGGTGTATTGAGTGGTGTGTGTGTGTGGAGTGTTATGTGTGTGTGGAGTGTTATAATGTGTGTTGGTGTATTGAGTGGTGTGTGTGTGTGGAGTGTTATAATGTGTGTTGGTGTATTGAGTGGTGTGTGTGTGTGTAGTGTTATAATGTGTTGGTGTATTGAGTGGTGTGTGTGTGTAGTGTTATAATGTGTTGGTGTATTGAGTGGTGTGTGTGTGTGTAGTGTTATAATGTGTTGGTGTATTGAGTGGTGTGTGTGTGTGTAGTGTTATAATGTGTTGGTGTATTGAGTGGTGTGTGTGTGTAGTGTTATAATGTGTTGGTGTATTGAGCGGTGTGTGTGTGTAGTGTTATAATGTGTTGGTGTATTGAGTGGTGTGTTTGTGTAGTGTTATAATGTGTTGGTATATTGAGTGGTGTGTGTGTGTAGTGTTATAATGTGTTGGTGTATTGAGCGGTGTGTGTGTGTGTAGTGTTATAATGTGTTGGTGTATTGAGTGGTGTGTGTGTGTAGTGTTATAATGTGTTGGTGTATTGAGCGGTGTGTGTGTGTGTTGGTGTATTGAGCGGTGTGTGTGTGTGTTGGTGTATTGAGCGGTGTGTGTGGAGTGTTATGACGTGTAATTTATCATTACAAGTAATGATAAATTACATTAGCATTACAGAGTTAACACAGAGCATTAAATTAATTACTGCTCAATGTAATTACTATTACCTAGCATGCTAATTACATTTCTCGACATTGATTATTGTATCTTGAAATTGTGAAAGGAAGGGACTTTGACGACTTGCATTTTGGGGTCGGGGTTCCATTTGCCGACCTCCCACATCTTGTACGAGAATCTTCTTGTAACAGTATATGATTCTGCTGCCTTGTTCTTGATGCCATCCTCCCTAATATTATAATAATTTTTGTGCACAGTCCTGTTCACTATCACCCCTCAGTCTGGTGTATTAACTCAGTTCATAGGTTTTTTGTTTTAATTCTTAGTAGGGTATCGTGTATTGGAATGATTTTATTTATGCCGATATTGAACTTGGCTTGCAGACATGCGGCAGTAATGAGACCAGGCGAGCAAGCTGCGGGAGGACTGGCTGGCGGTAAATATGTACCGCCCATGATGAGGAATAAAGGCAAGAATGGGGGCAAGTTACAGAGATCGACACCGCCGCCCACAGGGCCACGATACAACAATCACGGAGGCCCCAATCCCCCGGCGTCCACCTCTCCGTCTTACCCGGGACCGCCGGCAAGCCACAGCCCCGTGGGAAGCCTGGCGGGAGTGTCGCCGGTCTATCCTCCGCAGCAACAGCCACAGCTTCCGTCGCCTCATTCGCCCTCCCCGGCTGCTCATCCTCCTCTGCACCGCAACAATTCGCAGGGCGCTCATCACGCGCACGCTACAGATACCAAAGTTAATGGGGATGCAAAGGGGTCTTATGGTGAGTAGAGATGAAAGTATGTCGGGAGTTGAGAGTAGTTGAGATTATAGGTTGCCGGTCGGCCGAGCGGACAGCACGCTGGACTTGTGATCCTGTGGTCCCGGGTTCGATCCCCGGGCGCCGACGAGAAACAATGGGCAGAGTTTCTTTCACCCTATGCCCCTGTTACCTAGCAGTAAAATAGGTACCTGGGTGTCAGCTGTCACGGGCTGCTTCCTGGGGGTGGAGACCTGGTCGAGGACCAGGCCGCGGGGACACTAAAGCCCCGAAATTATCTCAAGATAACCACAAGATAACCTCAAGATAGGTGTTGACAAAACTACACACTAGAAAGTGTAGAGATGAGGACATTTCGGTCCGTCCTGGACCATTATCAAGTCGATTGTGATGAGAGGAAGGCAGCAATGGCAATTAATAGGCAAGAGAGAGAGGTTAGGAGATGGAAATCTTAGAGGAAGAATAAGCAAGACCTTGAAAGTAGGTCTTGTTAGGCAAGACCAAAGAGTGGTTGTTGTTGTAAAAGCAATACTCAAGTCTAATATTCACCTAATAGTGCTTGAGAGAGTGTTGAACTTTAGCTCTGTGGTTACGAACCTTCAGTCAACTGGAGTAGAGCTTCCAGATTATGTAGATAAGACAATTGAGCATTGGCTTATAACTCCATTTGAAGCTATGTATGGATTCCACCTCCACTAATTCCCTTCTTAGTGTATTTTAAGTTTTCTCTACTTTGAAGGACGACCATGATATTTATGGCTTTACTGGCACAATTCTCTTAACAATATTGGTTATGTTATATTGTCTGGAGCCAGTACAAGTGTGTGGTGCCGCTACAAGTGTCTGGCACCTGTACAAGAGTCTGGATGCATAATTGTGCGATGAAACTCAAGGATGCTGCCAGGTTTCTGTCATCTTGTAGGTATTGCATGTACAGCATCCATTCTAAGTGTCATTTTATAGAATAACATCTCTTTTGATATGTAAGTTTGCGGTAAACCTAATTAAAAGATTATCACTTTAACTGGTCTGCAGACGAACAATCTTACCGTAGACAACATCGCCTTTGATATGTTTTGGGGGGGTGGCGGCGGCTATGTCCAAAGACCAGCTGTCACCTGTTGGGGGGGCAACTTTAGTCAAATGACTCTCATTATCTAAATTGTATTTCCATTTTTCTATATATTTTGTTTTTCGTTTTTTTCCAGATCGTAGGAATCACGACGGATCTATGAATGAATCGAGTCGAGAAGGTCGGCACAATAGTAATCATAATAATAAGGTAGACATGCACAATCGACAGCACCATGGGCCGCCACCTCACAACGATGGCCAGCACCCTGTTCAACCACAGCAAAAGCCGCCACAGCAGAAGCCACCGCCGCCTCCGCAACAGCTGCATCAACAAAACCAACACACGAGTCACATGCCGCCCGTTGGCCAGGGCGATCACCGCAAGGCCGAGCCACGGGAACAGCGGGAACCTCGCAAGCAACATCGTATGAAGGAAGAACAAATTGCCGAGTTGAGAAAGTTCGGCGAGGACTTCAAGTTGTCTGATCAAGCGGACAAGAAATCACAGACACATCACCAACAGGTGCCACCGCAGCAGCAGCAACAGCAACAGCAACAACAGCAGCAGCAGCAACAGCAGCCACCGCCACCACCACAGCAGCAGCAGACTCAGTCACAGCCACAGCAACAGTCACAGACCCAACAGCAGCAACCTCAGCCTCAACCACAGCAGCAACAGCAGCAGCAGCCCCACCCACAGCAGCAGCCCCACCTGCAGCAGCAGCCCCACCCACAGCAGCCCCACCCACAGCAGCCCCACCTGCAGCAGCCCCACCCGCAGCAGCCCCACCCACAGCAACCACTCCAGCAGCAGCCCCACCCACAGCAACCCCACCCACAGCAACCCCACCCACAGCAACCCCACCCACAGCAACCCCACCCACAGCAACCCCACCCACAACAGCCTCACCCACAACAGCCTCACCCACAACAGCCTCACCCACAACAGCCTCACCCACAACAGCCTCACCCACAGCAACCCCACCCACAGCAACCCCACCCACAGCAACCCCACCCACAGCAACCTCACCCTCAGCATCACCAGCACCAGCAACCACAGCAACAGCATCACCAGCAGCAGCAACCACAGCAACAGCCGCCGCCACCACCACCACAATCATTGCAGCAACAACCGCCACCCATTCCCCAACAACATCTGCCACCGCAGCACTTGCCGCCCCAGCAACACCCGCAGCAGAGACAAACTCCTCCAGTGTCGACAGCAATGCCTCCTGGACCCCCTCAGTCTGCCCCGCAAACCTCTCACCATCCACAAAATACGCCTACGATGACCATGAGCCCAGCCACGGAAATCGGTAAACCTCTCGAGGAGATTGACAAGATGGCCGCCGTGTCTCACTCCAAGCTTAATCCTAATGCTAAGGAATTTGTCTTAAACCCTAATGCCAAGCCTTTCAGTCCTGTGAGTATTCTCTCCTGATGCTTTGTTTGTGGTAAATCTTTTGGAAATATGTTTACAAACGTGTTACTGAAACTTGTGTTGATTTTATACGCGTTTGGTTCTGAGATATGTTGGAAGTTTGAATGGAAACTGTTTGTAAGAAGTATGTCTGCTTCTTTGTAAATATTGGGAAGCGCTTTAAAGAATTCAAATTGTCGGCGATTCATAGCTGTGTAGCCTGGGGGTTAAAGTTGGTGTGGGGTTTAATTTGCCGTGTCATAATATCAAAGCGGACAGTAAGTCACAATAATGTGACTGAAAATTAGATGCCCAAGCCACACACTTGAAAGCGAAGGGAGCGGATGAGTGTTGGTCTCGCCGGGACCATTATCAAGTGGTCAGCTTTCCTCTTCAGATGTGCAGGTTGGGTAATATAATACATCAGTTTCCAAGGTGATCTAGGAGATCTAGGGAGCCGGTGGCTGAGCGGACAGAATACTAGACGCGTGATCCTGTGGTCCCGGGTTCGATCCCGGGCGCTGGCGAGAAACAATGGGCAGAGTTCCTTTCACCCTGATGCCCCTGTTACTTAGCAGTAAATAGGTACCCGGGAGTTAGTCAGCTGTCACGGGCTGCTTCCTGGGGGTGGAGGCCTGGTCGAGGACCGGGTCGCGGGGACACTAAGCCCCGAAATCATCTTAAGATAACCTCAAGAACAGAGGAGGTAATCACAGATAGTGATTTGAGCAGTGTAAGGGTTAGAAGCAGAATAGATGTGAAGTTTGTTGCGAGTGTTTAGACGTAATTGTTAATATTAGCCAGAAATATTTAGGCATTTAGTTTATTCTAGAAAATCATTGCAGATAATTCTAGGGAATTACTAACTTGAAGTGTGAGGTGTTAACCCACACACATGTACAAATAGTTAATGGATATTATTTTGATAATTATTATGGTATAAGGACTCCAATTTGTTATAAATATGTTGAATTTTTAAATATTTCATAGTAATGGTTGTATGCTGGCATATCTAAGAGACTTTTTGATGTCATACTCATGTGATCAACTTTCTAACTCGATTCGGTGTTTTCCAAATTCTAGTATAGTTTTATGTCATATTTTCCAAGCTATCATCTAGTTTTATGCAATGTTTAATAAAATCCTTTCACGCAACAGTGACCTTTTAAACGTATGTGATCAACTTTCTGACTATTCAGTGTTTCCCAAATTCTAGTATAGTTTTATGTCATATTTTCCAAGCTATCATGTCGTTTTATTCAATGTTTTGTAGAATCCTTTCACGCAACAGTGACCTTTTAAACGTTCCAACAGCGTTCACCGAGCACGACCACCCCTCCTCGGCCTCACACACCCCAGACACCACAGATTCCGCCAAATCAGCCGCTACAGATGCCCGGGATGCACCAGGCCATGGTATTGACCACAGGCTCGTTTTCTGTACAGCAGCCCCCGCGATTCCCTAAAAGAGGCAAGTATCATAAATTTCTATATATGTAGGGTCCCCCTCCCCCCTTCTATTTGTTTGTTTATTTTGTGGCAAAGAATCTTAAAACTGTCTCTGAAGAATAGTTGTTTTGAGCAGTAATCTCAATTTTGCTAGGTACCTAGAACAAGTTCACGCATCTTAGATGTTGGACCAAATGTTTGGCTTAAAAGAGGAGTTTGGTGGGGGTTGTCAATATACAAATGTTATCCCTGTGCAGGGCAGCCAACAGTTAGCAATATACAAATGTTACCCCCGTGCAGGGCAGCCAACAGTTAGCAATATACAAATGTTACCCCCCGTGCAGGGCAGCCAACAGTTAGCAATATACAAATGTTACCCCCGTGCAGGGCAGCCAACAGTTAGCAATATACAAATGTTAACCCCCGTGCAGGGCAGCCAACAGTTAGCAATATACAAATGTCACCCCCCCGTGCAGGGCAGCCAACAGTTAGCAATACACAAATGTTACCCCCCGTGCAGGGCAGCCAACAGTTAGCAATATACAAATGTTACCCCCGTGCAGGGCAGCCAACAGTTAACAATACACAAATGTTACCCCCCCCGTGCAGGGCAGCCAACAGCAATACACAAATGTTACCCCCGTGCAGGGCAGCCAACAGTTAGCAATACACAAATGTTACCCCCGTGCAGGGCAGCCAACAGTTAGCAATACACAAATGTTACCCCTCCGTGCAGGGCAGCCAACAGTTAGCAATACACAAATGTTACCCCCGTGCAGGGCAGCCAACAGTTAGCAATACACAAATGTTACCCCCCCCCGTGCAGGGCAGCCAACAGTTAGCAATACACAAATGTCACCCCCCAGTGCAGGGCAGCCAACAGTTAGCAATACACAAATGTTACCCCCGTGCAGGGCAGCCAACAGTTAACAATACACAAATGTTACCCCCCCCCGTGCAGGGCAGCCAACATTGCTCATTATTTGCAACAGTATTTGCTCATTGATTAATCACATACTTGTCATTTCATTGTGCTTATAACAAAATATTCACCAATTTCGACTCCCCTTACTCTCGAGTAGCGATACCGAGGGTCCAAAATATACTACGTATCGGTAATAAATGGGTTAAATAAATCTCCATTCAGGGTTTTCATTTTCCACAGTTCCAGTGGGTAATAACCAGCGTCCTGAGTACGCGTCACAGATGCAAGTGGCAGCTGCAACAGGTCAGCCCATCCTGGCTCCAGCACCCATGAACACTCAGCCGCAGGCCATGACTGCTGTCCCAATAGCACAGAATATGTTACCTCAAACACAGCATTACCAGGTATGCAACGTGTTACGTTCTCCTGTTTCACGTCTTAGTGGCATTTGCTGATTAAATTGTTAACTGCTAATAAGTTTTTTATTTCTTTTTATTATGAATTAAGGTGGTTTCTGTTGTATTTCAGCAGTACCCTGGTGTGCCTATGATGTTGCGGTTTCCTCATGCTGGTATGCCTATGGTGACTGCTATGGTGCCAACATCGATGGGTTTGTGTCACCAGAATCCCGACTCTCAACAGCAGTCGCAGCAACATGGCCATCAGACAATGTACATGGCTCAGGCTAGCTTACCGCCTCACCAGCCACATCCCGCGCACACACCTGGCCCAGTTCCTCAGCCTACTCAGCCACCGACCCCACAGAATCCAGGAGGCGGCAGCGGACCTCCAAACATGCCCAATCCACCTTCGACTCCTGGACCAACTCCGCCGCAGCCCCTCATTTACCCACACATGGGAGGACAACCATCTCTGCCTCAACACTTGCCGCAGCACTCTCCCCACACGGCACAGTCGCCCCACGCACCACAGTATCCGGGGCCGGGTCAGAATCCACCGTCGGGTGCCGGGGGCCATCACGGAGGGCCGGGCCAGCAAATGGCCACTCAGTTTGTGATGCTGCCTCCACATATTGTGCACCATTCGGGACCGCCGCCACACTCTGCCACGGCACACATTCCCTCCTCCATGGCGGGCTTCACTCCTACGTCGTCGGCCGGTGTACAGCATTTACCATCGGCTCCTCATATTCAATACTTTTCAAGTAAGCATCACCCACGGTTCACACATTGAGGTGCTGCATCGTTTAGATAAAAAAAAAAAAAGAGGTTTTATCAACAATATGAGGTAGTTCCTCAGTGAATATTGCTTTCTATTTGATTGCCACTATTTGATCTGTATAAACTATTGACATTTATTATAGGGTTTTTGTGAATTTGGGTCCATATCTGAACCATGGTATATCTGGCAAAGTGAAGGGAGATGATGCTCACGAGGTGAAAAACGGTGTTTGTACCCGCAGGTACAGCCAGCAGCCATGGTCGCTACATGCCCCTCCTCCATCACAGCCAATGAAGCTTGGGGCTTAGTAACACCAAATTCACACTTACTCCCCAGCCTTCAGTCGTGTCTGCCTGAGTGTCTGGCCTCCATACAGGGTGGGACTTGGTGCGTGCAGGAATATTGGGGGGGGATGTTTTGTTGTCGTGTTGAGAGATGTATTTAGTGTAGATCGGTTAATATATTGATCTTGTTTATAGTTGGTGTGTCAGTTTGTGTGTGGAGCATTTGAAACTGGAGCCATTTGCTAAATTTTTATACATATATTAAATAAGCAAAATGTAAGGGGGACTTATGCAAGGGGTTATTTTACGGGTATACTCCCATAGGTTTTTCTCTCAGATACATTTTAGTATTGCGAGGGTTCAACTCCCAAATGTGAATGGCGGGTCGCCGCAACAATATGAGCTCCTTTAATGATTACACAACTGAAGTACTGTTAGGCGTGGAGATTGACGCGTGTACTGTTAGGGGTGGAGATTGACGCGTGTACTGTTAGGCGTGGAGGTTGACGTGTGTACTGTTAGGGGTGGAGATCGATATTTATTGTTGAGAGTTAGAAGCTTTATCAAGAGACCCATAATATGAAAGTGTGGGGGGGGGGGGGGAGGTCAGGGTAAAGTAGTCGGTCTAGAAGAGTTTATATAGGGTTTTATGGCATGGTAACTTGTAAAGACTTGAGACGTTGGTGCCAATTGTCAGGTGGGGGCGGCTGGAGAGCTGGGAAATGTAAACAAAACACCAAAAAGTCAATAAATTACATGAACCCTGGTGGTCTCATTAGTAACTTTTTGATAAATGTATGCACGTGATGCATTCATGCTCGAGGCAATATTCTATGAGAGACAAACTGACGAGGGGGCCTGTCAGACAGCTAGCCTAATAAAAAAAAAAGCTCTTGCAGAAATGTGATTTGCCTTATGTTTTATAGTAAGCCTCGTTAAAATTGAATATATGTTGTGACTTTGGTAAGTCGAGCCGTACCGCAAGTTGATACAGAGGGCTCCTTGTCGCACGTGGTCTATACAGACTTGCTAAACATTTCAAGGCATATATATATAAACCCCCCTCTCTCCCTCTTCCTTTCTAAAACACATTTACACTTGCATGCACACAGACACAAATCTACACCGAATCTTACCTTCGTCTAATCCCAGATGCCAGCGATTAGTGGTACACTGAACTGGGGTGAAGGTGATTACTCTTACCATCTTCCTCGTCTCTTCAAAAATGTAATCGTTCTTGAAAGGGGTTTTAGCTGGGATTGAAGATTGCAATATCTGGAACCAAACCTTGCTGAAAACCTCCAAGGCCTTGATGATCCGAGGTTTACATGCCCCTCTATAGTTAAATGGCGACACTGCTGCAATTTTCTGTAACGGGTCGAAACGTTGAAAACTTTTTTTTTCTTTTTTTTTATGACCTTCTCAAAAGTCGATGAGCCAACATGTCTTCTTGTTTTTCTTGACACACTGTCCTATTGATTTGTTTTTGTTGTGGAAACTATGGGGAGAACTTGTGTCAAGTTACCAAGTGTGAGCCTCAAGTTCTGGTGGGCTCGAGGTTTGAAGTCACACGAAAAAAAGCTTTTATTATCCCACGTGACTAGGGGTTTATTTTCTACGCCAAACAAGACGAGCCTCACTAGTCGCTCAGTTGCTAAACCATCATGTGTATATTTCTTTTGTATTGAAGTGAAAAAAAAAGAATTCTATTGTTACAATTTGTTGATGCATTACATAGAAACATTTTTTGTATAAAGCTATTCCACCTCATCGTCATCCGTGAATATCTCGATGCTTCACTGTTCTGTACGTGAGACATTGATGCTGTTGCCGGCTTTGGTCAACACAATCGGTGTAGAAACTGAGAGGTGTGTAGAGTAGCCGTCTCCTTGAGAGACTGTCTGAGGATGAGGGTTGCTTCGGAAAGCCATATAGGATAGTGTGGCTCTATGTGGCAGGAGATATATAATATATAAAATATATATTATATAATATAATATATATATATATATATATATATATATATATATATATATATATATATATATATATATATATATATATATATATATATATATATATATATATATATATATATATATATATATATATATATTATATATATATATATATATATATATATATATATATATATATATATATATATATATATATATATATATATATATATATATATATATATATATATATATATATATATATATATATATATATATATATATATATATATATATATATATATATATATATATATATATATATATATATATATATATATATATATATATATATATATGTATGTATGTATGTATGTAATATATACACACACAATTTCTAATGAGGAAAAGTGAAGGGAATATTTGTGTTCAAGACAGCTATGTTTGGTGATGCAAAGGCCTAATATACAGAAGTGAATGTTTCTTTGCTTATATTTATTTTTTTCTATTTTTTTACAATGAGGATTGGTTTTGTTATGGCTGTTGCAGGATCAATCAATCACTTGGTGAAACTTCTAGATCAAAATATAATAATGTAACCTTTTTATTTCTCACACACCTGTCAATGAAAGGAGTTGGTATCTGGGCATCTGGCCCAAGTGCATACACGCCATGCAATAAAGTTTGGGCTCGAGGGGGGTTGGGGAGGGGGAGAGAATATTCGAAGTGTTATTTATGTGTAGCGTATGAGTGTTGGACGCTTTGTGTTTGCGCGCGTGTACGAGAGGCGGTGTGCGTGTGTGGTGCTCGTTCGCTCTTGCCCGGTCTTTGAGACGCGCTCCCTTCTTCGGTTACGTCCACTGCTAATCCTGTCGCCTCGTGTAACTCCGTTTCGTCCAAGTCGAGATGAATGGCCGACATATTTGGTAGGGATCTTCAAGGGCCTCGGACCAGAGGTCGCTCTAAGGATGAATGTCGCATGGTTTTTTATTTGTAAATCAGCCATAGAGCGATTAATGGGTTTGGAGATTTCTTGCTTGCTCCATGCCACTATAAGAATTAATAATCAAGTACTTCCTTTAAGAGTGTTTTTGCTATTTCTTTTTTATTCCTGTTAAAGTTATGGATAAGATTAATTTCAATGGAGATGAGTCGGTAATGTTTATCTTTCGCTTGTTTTATTATGGTTCGCTCTTAGATGATAAATTATAAACAAATCCACAAGGGCCGTGCTGAGGGTTCGAACCTACGTCCGATATAATCCCAGACGCTGCCTTAGTCGACTGCTCATCTGATGTATCACGCTATTGTGATTTGTGTGTGTAGTGATAAATCATATGTTTTCTCCATGCTTTAATTGCTTGCATAGTTACTCCAGCCAAATGCTCGATAATTTGCAACACGTTTTAAGAAAGGTCACAGAGGGAATATGCATTTGTGAAAACTCTAGCTTTTTAAACATTCCTCTGAAATTATTTGCGCTAAGCTTTTGGGCAATGATTTATCTCAGCCTTGTATTTCCTCAACTTTTGTCTTCAAGTTCTAAACTTGGTCATTTTTTTTAATGGCTTTCTAGCTGTTAGAAGAAAGCTAAACAGATCATCCAGGGTATTCCTACACAAGCTTTTTTTTATAAATAATTGTATGCATACATAGACACTTAATCTTAACCTGGAAGATTCGGGATACATGACTATCCTTCTCCGTGCTTTTATTCTTCACCTAGCTGGCCTTTCGTCTTTTGCCGATATCCGATAGAATTAACAAAATGTTCTGTCGGGTTGACTCTTTACGTCACCCGTGTGACAGGCTGGCTGTCCACGTCGTCCTTGCGACTGGTTGGTTGTCCATGTCGTCCTTGTGACAGGTCGGCTGTTCACGTCGTCCTTGCGACAGGTCGGCTAGCCACGTCGTCCTTGCGACAGGTTGGCTGTCCACGTCGTCCTTGCGACGGATCGGCTGTCCACGTCATCCTTGCGACGGATCGGCTGTCCACGTCATCCTTGCGACGGATCGGCTGTCCACGTCATCCTTGCGACGGATCGGCTGTCCACGTCATCCTTGCGACAGGTCGGCTGTCTACATCCTCCTAACCTCTTTAATCAGTCAGTTTGACTTTTATTTGCGTTCTTGATGTTTCGCTCCGCCGTTGACTAGAACGACGACAATGATGCCACCACGTCCCGAGGTGAAGGCAGGGTGTTGTGTAGTGAACGATGCCAAGTTATTTATTGACCGAGTTATTCGTTGGTAGCTTACTGACTAGGCGCCTCTGATGATCTTTCTAGACGGGGAATAAGGATGATGCAGGATCCTTCTTGTAGTAACCTTCCCTTTATTTTTATTCATTCTTATTTAAAATTATGAATTTAGGCCATATTGACATTTGAAAATCCTGTAAAGTATATATTGTTTGTGTGTGTGTGTGTGTATTTGTGGTATGTATGTATATATATATATGTATATATAATATATATACAGTATATATAATATATATATGTATATATATAATATTATTTCTTGATGAACCCGCTGAAGCCTTGAAACATTTATCGTGTTAGGTAATAAACATTTGTAACAATGACAAGAATATTCAAATTACTGTACAAGGGAAAAATGTAAGAAAGCGTTTCAACTGGTGATGCCACACTCATTCTTGAACCAGACCGGAAAGTTGGCAGTGACGGCAAAAGCTTGGTGCCCAGTACTGGAAAAAGATTGCAAAAGTAATAGAAAATAAAAACAAACCTGATAACTCCCCATGTATAGCAGCTGGAAACTCACAGCTAAATGCTATGAATAAAGATGAATGATATAAGGGTGTGTTTTCTTTCTCATGTCTTGGTGTGTGATACCTGAGGAAGGGTGTGAATCTGGAAGTTCAGTACGCAGGCACTCGCACACATGCTTGCTCACGGACGTTCACTCACGGACGTTCACTCACGGACGACTAGCCAACTTGGGCTGGATGGTTGAACGACGGTCTCGCTTCATGCAGGTCGGCGTTCAATCCCCGACCGTCCAAGTGGTTGGGCGCCATTCCTTCCCCCCGTCCCATCCCAAATCCTTATCCTGACCCCTTCCAAGTGCTATATAGTCGTAATGGCTTGGCGCTTTCCCCTGATAATTCATTCATTCATTCACTTACGGACATTCATTCACTCTCTCTGTACAGTATTTCTCTCCCTCTTCCTCCTCACTAGGACTACCACCTCTGGTCCAACTGTGGAGACCCATAGCCTCACAGAAGAGAATAAAAGGTATTCAGAGAAGACCTTGCAGTGTCTTCCCTGAACACTTTGAGTATTTTCTTCTACCACCCCCTATGTTATTATTTTGTGTAATGTGATTACGGTACAGTATACTATATGTATTTTTATTAGCTTTGAGAGCTGCACAAAAACTGAGCCATAGCAGTCAGTCTTCTCAGCATCCAGCATCCTTTAGTGGGTACTGCAGTAGCTGAGGTTTCTTTGGCCAGAGAATCGCCTGCAGTCATTTGGAATGTTCCGAATAGACTTTATATGCTTTGGCAGTTAGTCCTCTATCTGAACCCTGCCCCACCACGTTCCCCCATTCACCATAAAGCCATCTGTATCATAAAATCTACGTCATCCAGAAATTCTGCCACGATGCTCATTTTCAAATCACTTGAGCTATCCCCCCGAAGATTGTTCGATTATATATATTGCAGGATGCTGCGTTTGGAAACTTATAAGACTGCTCATTGCCCAGTTGGTAGAGCTTTGGCCTCTCACACGCATGGGATCCAGGGTTGGAGACCCATACAGCTCGAGTGAATGGAACTGCTCGATTCTCGCCACGTCTTTTAAGGAGATATCCGAAATAAAAGCGAGAACATAGTAAAACATTCAGTTACCGAGACAATCTCAAAGGACTCAAAATATACTTGATATGGAGGAGGAGAGAGGCATT